GTCTTGTTGTAGCGGGGTGGTGGGGCGTGGTGGGGAGGGGGTGCACAGGTTGTCGCGTTGCGGCAGCGGCATCGCAAAGATGATTCATGAGCCTCCTAAAGTCAGGTCCCCATGTTATGGCTATACCAACCGAGGGGGAGCTACGTCTATACGTTTTTGGGCAAACACAAAGCTTACATGACTACACACTGTTATTCAAGGAATGTGACGTCACATTCGTTTTAATGTGAAACATGTCACATTCGTTTGAATATTGTGTCACATTCATTTAAACGTGACTTCAGGTGAGGTGATGCTCTAATGGCGCCCAGGCTTGTCCGATTCACGTTTAAACGAATATGACACAACATTCAAACGAACGTGACACGATTAACATTGAAACGAATGTGACGTCACATTCGTTGAAAAACAGTGCAGTCAGATTACAGGAATTATTACAAACAGTCCCAATGGTTTTCCGCAGTTTCGTGCTATTCTCGACTAATCTCGTCGCGGATTACTAAGGTTACAGTTACATTTTTGTACACATGACTTTACTCAAACTTGTTCATTCTAACGTCAGTGAAAATAAAAACGTTTCTTCACGAACATTTTTTTTCTTTCCCTTTTTTCACAGTATGTGAAGGTGCGCCTTGCCTGTCCCAGAGACGCTTGCCCTTCCCCTCCCTTTCTCCAGGCACGTTGAACGTGTTGGGGTTTTTAAATATATTCCCCTTCCCGCCTTTTCACCTCTATTTTTATTCCCCTTTGATTATCCCTCGTCTGCTGGCGCCATGCTCGACAACAAACGCTACGCCATATAGGCGGCCATAGGCTCACGACCACAAGGTCCACACAATGCAATGGGGAAGAGGTGCCGGTAAAGGTCGAAGAGAAGGGGGGGGGGAGAGGACAGGGAAATAGAATAGAGAGAGGAAGGAGAGGGGAGAGGGGATTGGGGGAGGATAGGGAAAGGGGGAGGAGAGAGGAGAGGGGAAGGAGAGGAGAGGGGGAGGAGAGTGGAGAGGGTGAAGCGGCGATAATTGACGCCAGCAGCGAAGGCCTGCGGCTCAGGACGACCCGCAACGCAAGTTCGCGATCGGGTTGCCTACCTCTGGCGAGGCGATCGGAGCGAAGAGGGAAGGAGACCCGTGTAGGGGGAGCGCGTGGGGGAGGGAGGCATACGTATGTAGGGCGGGGAGGTGAGGGGAGGAATCGTAGAGGGGAGGGGGAGGGTAAAAAAGAATACGACGGTTCCACGCAAGCCCGCCAGGCAGCTCGACAAGACCAGAATCCGGAGAAATACTGCGCCGTGGGTGCCGTAAGTCTGACTTGGAGATCGCCCGCCGCGAGGCCACACTCGCCTACCTACCCGACGGCCCCAGTTCGGAGAAGGGGTGGGGGGAGAACGGGGAGGAGAGAGAGAGAGAGAGAGAGAGAGAGAGAGAGAGAGAGAGAGAGAGAGAGAGAGAGCACGCACCAAACTTTGGTGGTTCGGTGGGGAAAAAATCTCGAGCGCATTTTAACG